TTTTCGATGAGTCATTTTGAATTGAAATTACATCTTTCTGGGCTGAAGACAACTTACTTTCCAATATCTTGATCATATATTTGAGTTATTTGATTTTCTTAGATTTTGTAACATTCTCAGCTTTGGATTCAGCAATAAAAATATCCTTTTGAGTGTTATGAGAAATAAGATTAGTATTTTCATTTTGTAGTTGCTTATGTTCATTAATGACCTGCAAAGCATGGGTGCATAATTTTTGGATCTCAGTATTATTTCGTAATAAATTCTGATTCCACCTCTTTCTTTCCCTTTATTTGTTTTATATATTTATCCTGTAATTTTTTGCTAAGCTTGTTAATTTTAGCTTTGGATTTGATAGCATCATGTATTTTTTTTTCTAGCTCTTCTTTGCGTATACTACCAAGTCAATGACCTTTAATATTTTGAAATGTATATACAATAGCCATATTGACTTGCTTTGCTAAATAATAGATAATACAATTATTAATAAAACTAATTTCATTAATAATTTTTATTATTATCTAACAATGTTTAATGTTAGATATCCTAATCTATTAAAAAAATATATTAGATATTATTGAATTAGGTTATATAATAATTATTTTTATAGCTCTTTTATTAGCCCAAGATTTGCTTACACTAATATTTCTTATTCATCTATAATAATAGATATTATTTTTTATTGTTTTATAATAATAGATATCATTTTTTATTATTCTAAAATATTAAATATCATTCTAAATATTTGATAAAAAATCAAACCATGAACACGCCATTTCTAAAATCATATTATCGCCGAAAATCTACATATCTAACTTCTGAGCAGATAGAAACAATTAGATCGCTCAAAGATAAGGTTTCTAAATATAGAATTATGAGAGAATTCCATATTAATGAACATCGAGTAGATGATATATGGGAAGATCGAGAACGCCAACAACAAATAATACAAAGTATCATTTCCACATTAGTCTCATCACCTTCGAGATAATATAAAATTGGCTCATTTTTTGTTACAACAATTTTCCAATTTTAAATAAAGTTGGACTCCATATTACGTTTGTGGCTCTTTTTTGATTCTCCATACCCCCTCCCACTCTGCATTAGCAAGCAAATAATGAACTGTATCACCCTTTTTTAACTTATTCTCCTCATTTTTTCCAACTGGACACTTATATTTTATAGATGGCCTAGATTCTACCTTTTCTAACTTAATGGCTTCCTTGGGAGCTAAACTCCACTTTGAAGAACCTGGAGCTTGGATGAGATGTGTTGGATAATTGTTTAGGTAATTAATAACTTTTGGCAAATGCTTAACCCATGCTCTTATTAGTTTAGGGTTCGAAGTTATACTTTCTACAGCAAATTGGACTTTATATAGTGTTTCTGCTAGAGTTTTATTGAAACGTTCCACAAGAGCTAGACCTTGGTGGCTATATGCACTAATTACTCGAATTGTGACATTATGCGCTTCCATTATTTTTGAAGTATCGCCCATGAATTCTTTACCACCATCAATGGTTAGCAATTTAGGCCAGGTTAATGGAATTGATGAATTATTATAAATTTTTTTGAACGCTTTAGTAACTTCAGAGCTTTTTTTTGACATGAGAGGAATTGAAGCCTTATATCTCGATGCACAATCCACTATATTTAGCACTGCTTTGTATATCTTCTGCTTATAATGATCATGGGTAAGAAAGAGTATATCAGCTTGGTGTATACAATTCGGACGTGAAATTTTGCCATAACTAACCCGTGGAGTATCTTTTGGTAGTGATGCGTGTTTTTGCTATTCATTCTGGTTTGTAAGCCACTCACATACCTTTTTATATGGAAACTGATACCCCTCTGCTTTAAGATCTTTTCATAATTTTCGGGGTTGGAATAATACCCTGTGGGTTGGTAAAAAAACAATTTACAGATTAAGTTTAATTTCTCATCTGGATCTATAATAATACTAGGTTCCATATTAAATCTAAGTATATAAAAATAAAAATGTCTCGATTAAAATATTCTTTAAAAACTGTATGTGCGATAGCAATACAAAAAGGTAGAGAGTGTATTTCCACAGAATACAAAAATAATATGTCATATCTTTGGTGGAGATGTAATAAAGGTCATAAATGGCAAGCAACTTTAAATAAAATGAAAGATAAAAATATATGGTACCTGAATTGCAGAAAAATTACAATCGAAGATATGCAACAAATTGCAAGAGAGAGAGGAGGGCAGTGTTTATCGACCATATATATTGATTCACATACACCTTTGAACTGAAAATATGCTAAAGGGCATCAATGGTCAGCAACTCGATCAAATATATATAATAATAAAAGTTGGTGCTGTAAATGTTTGACAGAAAAAAGTCGTGGATCGATTCAGATTATGCAACAGATTGCAGAAAAAAAAGGAGGACGCTGTCTTTTAACAGAATATATAAATTGCAATACTAAACTTGATTGGAAATGTACTAAAGGTCATCAATGGTCAACAACTCCAGATATTATTTCTCAAGGATCATGGTATCAAGTTTGTCACTATTCTTCTAGAATAATTCATACTATTGAAAATATGTATCAAATTGCACAAGAAAAAAATTGATATTGTCTTTCAACAACATATATTATATCAAATACTCCTCTCGACTGGAAATGTGTTAAAGGACATTATTAGTCAACAGCACCAGGTAATATTTTAAGAGGATCATGGTGTCCAACTTGTGCTGGGTTTAATCGAACTATTAATGATGTACACCAATATGCCAAAATGCTAAAAGGAAAATGTCTTTCAAATTCTTATAAAAATGCGCATACCAAACTTCTTTGGACCTGTGAATATAATCATACCTGGGAGGCTTCTTTTAATAATGTAACTAATAATTCATGGTGCCCTTTTTGTTCAAAATATAAACGGGAATGTTTATGTCGTAATATTGCTACAAAATTATTAGGTCAACCACCATCTATGCTACGCAGACCTGATTTCTTGAAAATGTAAAAATGTTCAAAGAGTTTAGAACTTGATATACCATATTATAATTTATGCTTCGCTATTGAAGTGCAGGGAATACAACACAAAAAATATCTTGTATTCTTTCAGAGAGGCGATCCTGATAATTTTATTAGACAACAAGAGCATGATCAATTAAAAAAAAATTATGTGATGAGAACGATATCTATCTCTTTTATATATGGTACAACAATAAAGATCTGGAAAAGACTATTCGAGATGAACTATTTGCACTAGGTCTACTCAATTAAATCATTTATGGATCTTATTAATAATATTTCATAATTCAATAAGTTATATATTCTTTTTTTATAATTTGCAAT